ACACCTAAAACAAAAATAAAAACTAAAACAAATTAAGCAAACAACTAGAACAGGAACAGAATCACAGAAATGGAGATCACATGGACCGTTATCAGCAGGGGAGTGGGGAGAGAGGGGGAAAATGTACAAAGAATAAGTAGCCTAAATGGAAGGTAAAAGACAGACTGGGGGAGGTTAAGAATAGTAGAGGAAATGTAGAAGCCAAAGAACTTATACATATGACCCATGGACATGAACTAAAGGTGGGGAATGCAGGTGGGTGGGGGTGGGCGGGGTAAAGGTGGGGGGAATGGAACTACTGTAATAGCATAATCAATAAAATAGATTTTAAGTAACTACTGGGGAGAAAAAGAACTGAAATTAAAAATGCAGAAAGCTGAAAAATGTATATTGAGAGGTTTGCAAGAGTGTATCTAAAGCCTTTCCCGAATGGAGGGGAAGGATGTTGGCTTTTGTGCATATTCCAAACCTTAAAGGCTTTAAAAGAAATATGGTTTTATTTCTCATGATTCTGTGGGTGGTTCTTTGCTTCATGGTGTTGGCTAGCATAACAGCTGGAAGATCCAAAACGTCCTCAATCATCAGGCAGGGAGTTGGGTCTGACCGCGGGCTGGTACCTCCCTCTGTGAGACTCCACAGGGCTGTTGGAGGGCCCGCACACAGCACAGTGGCTGGGCTCTAAGAGGATGCATTCCAAGTTCAAAGGTGAAAACTGCTGATCTTTTATGGCATAGCCCTAGAAGCCACACAGAGGCACTTTCAACACATTCGGTTGGTCATAGGAGTTACATGGGCGGCCCAGACTTGAGGGGAGAGGAAGCAAATTCCAGCTTCCAGTGGGAGGTGTATCAGGGAATGTGCAGCCAGGTTTAATCCACTGTCTATTCTCTGTCCACAGATTCCCATTCCCATCCACACGGGTGGGCATACTCACCCTCTCCCAAACCCCTGCCCCACCTCGGTGAAGTCTTATCCCACTATGGCATCAAGTGCAGTCTTGAAGTCCAGGATCTTGTTACCTAAATGAGATCCACAATGCTCTGAAACAATACCATTAAGATTCCTTCTAGAGACCTTCTGCCTAGCTGAGTTCTAAGTGGCTCTGCCTTAAATCTCCTGAAATCTTAATACGAGGTCTTAGAGCTGTGCCCTGGTTTTTATTTTTACCTGGAGACCAAGTTTTACAGGCAGTAGTGCTCTGGATCTGATCTTTTAACCTGAGGCCATTTCTCAGAGTATTTGCTGGGTAGGGAAGCTGGTCATGAGAAACAATTTTATTATGACTCTAGAAAGAAAATACTTCCTTAAAGTCTACTTAAGTTCTGAACGGTCTCTTCTTTAACTCATCTCTACAATACTTTGATTATAGGTGGTTAAAAAAAGAAGTTAATTGGCACTTCCAATATTCTGCTGGGAAAATCTCCTACACTAAATCCACAAATTCATTAGGTTCATTTCCTATCTTCCAAGTCACTGTAGGGGACAGTCTTACTGATTTTTCTGTCACCATGAAAAAGCAAGGCTACCGTATTATATTCTCCAATAGCAGTTTCCTCACTGTTCTTCCAGCGAACATTTAATAGCCTTCTTACTGCCCTTCAGGTCATCACAGCCACGATACCTGGTGTTTTGTTATGGTAGCACCGCACATCTAGGTACCAGTCTTTGTTTTGGCTCTTTATGGGATGTAACAAACCATCACAAAACTTTGCAGCCAAAATAATCATTTATCCTTTCTCATGATTCTACGGGATGATGAAGCAGTTCTGTTTCACATGGTGTTGGCTTCCATGCTGCATGGTTGGAAGGTCAGGAATCAGTCCCAGAGCTGGCCCTTGGACGGGCTGGCTGCTGGCCTGGAGCTCAGCTTGGGCTGATGACCAGAGCCCAGCTGCTCCTCCACACGGCTGTGCAGGCTTCTTCATGGCAAGGCAGCTCAGCTCTAGGAAGGAACCTTTCAAGCACGCCAAAGCAGAAGCTAAAGATCTCTTTACGGCCCAGCCTTAGAAATTACTCCACATTATTTCTGCCACATTGGATTGGTCAAAAAAGCAGGGCCACCCTAGCTACACAGGGAAAGGAAAATTCTATCTCCTGTGGGGAAGAATCACAAAATATTTGCAGCCATCTTCAGTCCCCCAGGGGAAGTCACGAGTATTTAAGCAATAAATGGTGCCATTGAAAGGAATTAATTCTTTGAGAGAATGAATTTAGTGAATGAATAACAGAACTTTTCACCTCTAGATAATATATTAAGTGAAGCACTATCAGATACAGAATAAAGGGGGATAGTGAAGCAGGGTCAGTGAAATAAAGGAGAAGCATAGTATTTCTGGAGCCCCAAAGTCAAAGCTTCAAGGAAGGCACTGACATCATAGTCCAATAACAGAGAAACCAAAGGGGAATAGAGATGTGTGACGACCATTCTGCCGCCTCTTACACAAAGCAGCAGAGTGGTAATGGGTCTATGAGACGACCATAAAAAATAATAATATTCTAAGTTTTAGAAAAATAACCTAATCATTTAAAGCCCAAGGAGAAAAGTCACTGAGTATGACAACACTATGGGAGCAACCCTAACACTGCTGATATTCTGATAAAAGCTGAGTTGTTATGGATTTTAAGAATCACTGCTTTACTTTTTCTTGGTTCTGATGGTCATGGAATATATCATATATTTAATTTAGATGGTAATTCTCTTTTAAGAAAAAGACTTCTTAGTCCTTGGATGCTTTCAGTGAACTACCAAATTAATCCAGAACACATTTAAAATGAAAGTTGAAACCACTTTATTATTAGGTTAGTCTCTGAGCGTAAGCCACCAGTGACTGCATAATTCTTAGAGAGATTGTGTAGCCTCATGCCCTTCTCCACCACACTGTTTATAACACTGTTTCCCCGACCCCTACCTCCACCCCACCATAAGCAAGCCATAAAATAGAACCAAACTCAGTGACTATGCAGTCTCCCAAGAATCGCACACGCTCTCCTCTCAGATGACTGGCTGAAAGCAGAAAACATCATTCCATTTGCTTCTCCTAATTCTTCCATAGGTGACTTGCCTTTCACCACAAAAGAATCAAATGGACTATTTACTCCAGGGAGAAGCCACACAGATCAGAGTACACCTCTTCATAAATAAGGAAACTAAAGGTCAGGGGTGCTCAAGTGACTTCTCTTAGGGTCACATAAGGGAAGAACATGGGCTTATGTCCAAGTTTCCAAATCTGAAAAGAACTAGAAGGGTGGCAGCACTGATTCTGGCCATGTAGCCAAATTAATAATAGACCTTTCTAATAACAAAACAAAACCAGAAACAAAACCCAACCCAGGGCTCTGGAACATGACGTTACAAGTATATCCAGAGTGATTCTATGTTATAATTTTTCAACCATAATTCAAAATCAGATTTTTCTAGCTCTGGAGCAGACAAATCAGTGTACTCTGGAAATATTTAAAAATATGATTAAGTGACTAGTCTTAACCCCTTATCTAAAGTAAAGTTTATGTGTACTCGATTATGGAGGCTAGAATTACAAAGGTACACCAAGGAGTTACGAAGCCTTGTTTCTGCCTTAAGAGGATTTATATTGCTATTGTAGAGAGAAAACACGCATACTGGGCACACCCCACCTTATAGGTCACTTCAGTACCAAAGCGAGATGGAGTCTAAACCTAAAAAGTACCACACAAGCCAAATGACCCAATAAAATGGCGGAAACATTACTGAGAACAGCACTTGTCAGAGAGAGGTCAGAACTTTAATCTGTTCTTGCAACAAATATGTAGAATGCCTACTGTGTGCCAGGGTGAGTTCTAAGTGATCAGGGAAGTACAGGTATGTACAACAGACAAGACCCCTGCTCCCAGTCAGACAATAACCAAATATGCAAAACATAATAAAATCAGACACACTATGCTGACTATAAAGCTACTTTAGGTCAGATGGCCAGGAAAGGCCCCTTTAGAGGGACCGATGTTAAAACACAGATCCAAATGGGACCAGACAGACGATGATACTGTGGAAGATCATTCAGGGAGGAGGAGCAAGAAGCTTAGGATGTGTGAGGGTCAGAAATGAGGTCACGTGGCTGGCAGGTTAGCAGCCTTTGGAAAGTAGAAGAGTGACGGAAGGCTTATAGCCAAGGTAAAGAGTTTAGATAATAAACAGTCCAAGAGTGATGGAAAAGCCACTGAGGAGTCATAAGTGGAGGAACAGCTGATGACATTAGCTCTTAAAAATTTATAGTCAAGTGAATGAATCAGCAGGGTAATGTGGATATACTCAGGAAGTCAAAGGATCTATACTGAGAAGAGTGTTCAGAATACAAGGGAACAGACCCATTGTCCTCACTGCTGCTTTGTCTGGACTGTATGTTCAGAACTGGGTAACACACTTTTGAGACACAGGTTGCATTTCAACACTAGAGGGCCATGCTATTTAATGCGGTATAATAATTATCCATTTATTATGTCAAGTCAAAAGCTCTGCCACGGAGCTAATTTAAGATCAGTCTCCCACAGCTGTCAAAGAAGAATGGTATTTGCAGGAAAGCAACAGAGCACAGGACTTGTTTCTGACTTACCTACTCTAGATGGCCTACTAGTTCTACACATTAGAAAGTTCTATAAAAATACTACCTTAAACAAAAATCAGAACAATATAGACTTGAAGTCATGTAGTCTAAATCTCTTACATTTATTATATTCTTTAGATCTCTAATGTTAAAAAATGACAGACATCAAACACAAACGCACACACTTCACTATATACAAAACTGACAAAGCACAGGAGGGTGACATTTTACCAAAGTGTATACAAGATTTAATTTTCTGTTTGATTGGCTTAAAAACATCAAAAGGACTTTACTCAAACCATCTATAAAAACAGTACTATTTTTTACACACTAAGTATTCAGTGTTTGTTTGCTCCAGGCTACCAATATAATAGTAATTATCTTTACCAGGCGCTCATTAACAATTCAGAATGTTAATCTTACCCTGTGAATGCTGGTCAACCGGAACCTCTGCAATTAGTTTCTGTCTGAGATATTCCTAAAGAGAAATCATAAACATATTGTTATATTTTAAGCATCACAGTATTGTAACACAATTCATCGATTTATGTGGTTCTAAAATTTCCAATATCTACAACTTTATAAAACATACAAAAGGTAACCTCAAAAAAAGTGAGTTAAGAGTTCCTGCCAAGATGGAGGCGTAGGTAGAAACCCTTTGCTTCCTCGAACAACAAAGAGGATAACAACCAATGTAAAATCAATAAACAACCAGAAAATCAAACTGCATGGAAGTCCAACAACCAAGGAATTAAAGAAAAAAATCAACCAGAACCACCAGACCAGTAAGAACCCGCAGTGAGGCCATGTGGGCAGGGCCGGCTGAGAAAAAATGGGGGTGGGGGGAGACCAAGGACCAGGGGGTGGGGCTGGCTGCAGCAAGGTGGAGGACTGTGGGGGGCAGGGCTGGCTGAGGGCCAAACAGACTCAGAGAAAGTGAAGAGAGACTTACAAACTTCTGGGACAACCTGAAACATTCCAATATCCAAATTATAGGGGTGCCAAAAGGAGAATAACAACAGCAAGAAATTGAAAACTTATTTGAACAAATAATGAAAGAAAACTTATCCAATCTGGAGAAGAAAATAGACTTCTAAGAAGTCCAGGAAGCCCAGAGAGTCCCAAAGAAGGTGGGCCCAAGGAGGAACACACCAAGGCATATTATTAAGTTACCCAAGATAAAGACAAAGAAAAAAATCCTAAAAGTAGAAAAGGAGAGTTACCTACAAAAGAGTGCCCATATGGCTATCAGCTGATTTCTCAAAAGAAACCTTGCAGGCAAAAAGGGGATGGAAAGAAGTATCTGAAGTCATGAAAGGCAAGGAACTACATCCAAGATTACTCTATCCAGCAAAGCTATCATTTAGAATGGAAGGGCAGATAAAGTGTTCCCCAGGTCAGGTCAAGTTAAAGGAGTTCATCATCAATAAGGTCTTATTATATGAAATGTTAAGGGGACTTATCTAAGAAAAAGAAGATAAAAAATATGAACAATAAAATGACAAATGTGCAACTATCAACAAATGAACCTAAAAGAAAAGAAAAACAATGAAAACAAAAACTAAGCAAACAGCTAGAAGAGGAACAGAATCAGAGAAATGGAAATCACATGAAGATTTCAGTGGGAAAGCAGAAGGGAGAAATAGGGGAAAAAGGTACAGGGAAGAAGCACAATTGGTAGGCGTAAAATAGATTGGGAAAGATAAAAATGGTGTAGGAAACAGAGGATTCAAAGAACTTTCATGTATAACCCATGGACATGAACTAAGCAGGGGGGATCCTGGGGGGTTGGGAGGGCAGGGCGAAGGGGGGATGAAGGGGGAAAAATTAGGAAGACTGTAATTGCATAATCAATAAAAAATACTTTTAAAAAGTGAGTTAAAGAGATCACCTTCAGACCTATTATAAAAGGTGTTAACTAATACCCAGGGAAATAAACAATTACCGTCACAAATTACAGATTTAATCTTATTACCGCACAATTTATAAAGCATAAAATATGAACATTTACCCTGGCTGGTATAGCTCGGTGCATTGAGTGCCTGCCTGTGAACCAAAGGGTCACTTGTTTAGACTCTCAGTCAGGGCACATGCCTGGGTTGCGGGCCAGGTCCCCAGTGTGGGGCATGTGAAAGACAACTACACACTGATGTTTCTCTTCCTCTCTCTTGCCCTTCCCCTATCTAAAATTAAACAACATCTTAAAAAATAAACATATGAACATTAAATTTTTAGTGAAAAATGAGATAAGCATTGTGTCATTTCATAAGTAAAAGATAGAAAACCCCACTGAAAATATATAGCTTCTTACAGAAAATAGGGAAACATGGGGCAGGGGAAAGGTGTAATATTTGAGATTACTTTCTCCTTCCAGGTTTTTTTTGTTTCCTTTGGCTTTTGCTGGACCCCCACTTTTACACAACGGTGCCACTGTAAAGTGCCATGGCACAGTCCTGAGACCCCCTTCACCTCATCACTTATCGTAGGCTTTCTCAACGTTGTTACGGTTTCTGTAAACACAGTTCGTACATGGCTATGCCTCAGTTTACAAAACCATTTTGATACAGAATGTTAGATTTTTCTTTTTATTACTAATGCTGTAAATATCTCTGTACTCTGTTCATATGATTTCCTTTGCACTGACTTCCAAAACTGAGTAATGGGTCAAAAAGCATGAACATTTTAAGGCTTTGATATGTAATATCAAATTGTTTCCCCAGAAAGTTGTACTAATTTTCTTTCCAATATATGAGTAGAATCCTCAGTAGATGTAAGAATCATCATTAAAAAATTCAATAATTCTGAATTACAAAATAATCTTACTATTGCTTTATTTTTTGTTTCTTTGATTGAGTTGCATGCTTTCCAATATGTTTAATTAGTAACAAATTTCATTCCTTTTTTCTACTTAACATTTACCTAAACCAGAGGAATATTTTACTAAGCTATATCAGGAGGGACCCCCCTCAAAACCAGGATTATCTTCTGGAGGATGAGCCCCTTGTAGTATAGGCTTCCCCTACTAGGTGAGTGTTCCAGGGACTCACCTGTATTAGCGTACCAGCTGGTGGTGTTGTGAGAGGCTGTGTTTGGCCTCAGTGAATTTTTTTTTTTTAATTCTCCCAATGTGTTTGCCCATTTCATGATGGGTGATTTACAAGTGCATCTGCTTTCATCATACTGAGTGTTTAGCTGTTTTTGCCCAGAAACAACATGACCCCCATGCCCCACCCTCCCTATTCACCTGATCTCGTCCTGAGTGACTTTTTGTTTCTCTGAATAAAAGAAGTCCTCAAAGGGAAATGTTCTGTTGATGCGGAAGAGGTAAAACAAAAAATGGCAGAAGCACTAGAAGGCATCAAAATCAATGAGTTTAAAAACTGTTTTGAGCAGTGGAAAAAACATCTCAGTAGGTGTACTGCATGAAATGGAGAGTGCTTTGAAGATGACTGAAGTTTAAACACATGAGAATACACAATTTTAAAATAAATTCCAGGTTTTGGGGGGTCCCCCTTCATAAAATGTAGAACTTAATGAAAGCCCTCTCATAAGGACAACTTGTCATCTCAGAATGCAGCCACTGCTGTCAGCACACACACACATCCAAAACTCAGTCCAGTTTCTTCACCAGGGTTAAAAAGCCAAATCACTCTAATTTTAGAAACTAAAGCGAAAGTTATCCCCTTTCTTCCTCCCTAACAGCAAACAAAAGTACAAGTTGAAAGGATGAGAATGTGAAAACACTAAATGGCAAAGCCTCTTAGAACAGAATAACTAGTCCGTGTGAGGCAGGATGAAATAGGACTGGGACGCACCGTAGTTCTGACAGCCCCAGCTGCCCAGCCAGCCGGCAGCAGTGGTGGCTTCTCCAGTTTGCAAGGCTAATGAGTGTTAGAAAGCTGGCATCACCTACTTCTTCAAAAACATTTTCTTTCCCCATAAGCAGGACACGAGACATGTATTTTCACTTAAAAAGTCAATTCCAGAAAGTCATCTCCAAATCTGGAAGCCAAGCAAAATACTGAGAATGCCCTTTCTCAAATGAGAGGTCCTTTCTGAAGGTTCCCCTGAAAGAGATGCAGGAGCAATAGGGGCAGTCAGGCTTCTGAGACAAAAACGAAGGCCCCGGGTTTTCACTGTGGAAACGGAGAAGTCTGAATGTTTTTATTACTTGCTTGTCAGTAGAATAACAGAGACTGACAAAACAACTCTTTTGTAGTAAAGGAAAGAACTACTGTAAACTTTTGGAATTTGGGAATGGCTTTCCACTTGGGTGATAAATACAATTTTAAAATCTAAGATTCAGCAAGAAATTCAGACTCTCCTTTAGTCACTGGATGTCATGTTGCAGGTCATCAGATACGGCTGGAATCACTGCAGTGTCACAGTTATTTACCTCGCTCTATGCAATTCCATACGTTTACGGCTTTAGGTGATGTGAAATTAAAGTCTCCTATTTCATCAATTTGAAAGGACCATTTCATTTTACCATCTGCCCCACCTGGGATCACCTCCAAGAATCGCTTCCCTGAGCCATCCTGACCTCCCCCGGCTCCTCCTCTTCCATCTTTGCTCCTGGGACACCTGACTCACAGTTCGCTCCCACTGCTTTGTAGTGTATCACAGCTATTGCCTCAGTTCCTGGAGGACTGGGACGTTACCCCTGCACCTGCCCCAGTGTCTCTTCCCAGTGCTAGGCTGGGGGGGCCTGCAGAGTACAGTGGCTTCCAGACACCGATTCTTCAACAGGATGTTGAAAACATCTCTGGAAACTTAACTAGATTAAACAAAAATAGCATCTACCAGAACTTTTCTCAGGGGCAGTCCAGAATGCAGTTGGAAGGAAAGATAAGGACTCTGCTATTCTTTCTCTGGCCAGTCGAGAGCCTGGGAACTGGCAGAGAGGAACAGAGGGCCTCTTTGGCTACTCTCTTCCCCCTCAGAGTGCTTGTCTTCATTTCTTAAAAATACATTAAACAAGTGTTTAAAGAACAACAGTTTATGTGGCATCAAATCGTTAGCCTCCCAGGGTAACAAGTAATTAGCTCACCGAGAGACCCCATGCCTCAGCCCTATCCTTGTCCCCAGTATAAAAAAAATTAGGAAATAGCTACTGAGTGAACAAATACCAGATCCGCATGACACCCAGTCAGGAATCAAGGGTATGGAGGAGGAGGCCTGTGAACACCACTGGTGTACTCACACAACGGGCCTGGAAGGGTGGCAGAACAACATCGTGCGGACAGAGCCTCGCTCCGCTCTGTCGCCCCATGACAGACACAGATTCAGGAGCGGAGGCTAAGGGCTAAGCCTTCACCCTTCGGGAAGAAAGGAGAAAAATTCATAGTTGCCAACTTCCCCCCAAATATGACATCTAACAAATCTGAACAGAGTACTGCTGTCAAATGCAGCGTGACTGGCTGCTTTACAATGATGGTGAGTCATTCTGAATCAGTGATGGATTACTGGATAGATGCC